GAGTTCATTGTTAACAAACCAACAATATATTTAAATATGGTGTCTTAAAGCAGAAACACCCACAAAACAAGTTTGTATATTGATCATTAACAAAAATATTGTGTCTAGTAGTTCACAGAAACTGAAGCCTGTATTGCCCTGAGAAGCAATGGCTCAGCTTTGCTAAATCAATGCTCATAACCACTTTATATAATAGAACATAATTACTGTGAATACTTAGAATAGAGCCAGGCATGGTGGCTCATGCCTATAATCCCAGCACTTTGGGAGGCTGAGGTAAGCAGATCACTTGAGGTCAGGAGTTTAAGACTAGCCTGGCCAACAGGTGAAACCCTGTCTCTACTAAAAATACAAAAATTAGTCAAGCATGATGGAAGGTGCCTGTAATCCCAACTACTCAGGAGGCTAAAGCAGGAGAATCACTGGAACCTGGAAGGTAGAGTTTGCAATGAGCCGAGAACACACCACTGCACTCCAACCTGGGCAACAAAAATACATATATATATGTGTGTGTATATATATATACACACATATACATATTCTATATATATAGAAAGAGAGAATAGACTTTATAGACTTATACAGGACAAGAACTAGGGACTGGTTCTCTAGCTCAAAAGTATGATCTTTGTGAGTTGGTATAAGTGCACTGCTGTAGCAAACAGACCCCAAAATTCATAACAATCCAAGTATACAATGGATGTTTACTTCTTAGTCTTATATCATTTTTGAGCAGTGAATGAGCCAGCCTAGGGGCTCTTCTCCATTCACTTCCACAGGGATCACGGCTGGATGAACACTGTCATTATAACACACAGCTTTACCCTGTGCATTATCTTTATTTGCCTAACACAGTAAAGAACACATGGGTGTGAACCTCAGACGTTTTGATGAGCCAGGCCTGGAGGTGGTGCCCATCACTCCTACTCATATTCCATTGGCTACAATTCAGTCACATGACCATGCCTAGCTGCAAAGGAGTATGGGAAATATAGTCTGTATGGGTGACAAGGAAGGCAAGAACAAGATGGCCTTGGCTGCTAGCAGTCTCTGCCACAGTTTGTTTTAAGGACTCATACTGAATCAGGCTCAGACCAAGACCTACAATTGCCCCAGGAAGATCCATAATTTGCTCCCTTCCCTTCAGTTCTTCTTGAAATCTTGGTTCAACATTTATTTTGAGGTGAAACCAAGATCTGTGGGGGGACTGGGAGGAAGACAGCTGTCCCTTGACCTGTGGAAATACTGTTCAAATCCTTGCTCTGATTCTTGAGCCACCCCCAGAGGTGATGTAGATGTCTAGCCCCTCCCTAAGGCTACCTCTAAGACTAGCACTTTTTTAATCCTCATGTACATCAGCAGCTATGGGTGCAACACTGCTCAAAGCCTGAGATCCATAGGACCCTACAAGGAGTTACCTCTGGGACCACATATCTCCCATAGGAAGTACTCAGGTCTGTAAGCCCAAGGCCTCAGCATGAGGACGCCTGGCTCTGGGCAGAGCATTCTGGGACCTCAAGGATTTGCCTGGCCAGATCTGACTTTAGCTGTCTGGGCCCCTTTTCACACCATAAGGCCAGCTGTAAGGAACTGGTGTGAGAGGGAAGCTTGGTAAGAATGCCCTGAGGAAGAGCAGGGAATGGGGGACCTCATCTTCAGCCCCATCCTGAGAAGAAGGAAGCCTCTGTGCTTTGGAAGCATTTGAAAGACTTCATGTAACCAAGGGCCACCCTTGCCTTATTGCTCCCACATACCCTACTGAAGTAAAAAGGGACAAAGACAGGTGATGGCCCATAAAATAGAGCTGCAGAATCTGTCCTGCCCTTCCTGTATATACCTCTCCTGGCTGCCAACAGAAAGACTCCTGTTCTTCTTGAAGTCCAAAAATAATCCCTGAAAGAAAAAAAAGTAATAATGATAACAATTTTTTGTTGAATGCCAGGCACTATGATTAATATTTGATATACGTTGTTGTATTGAATTCTCACCATGACCTGTGATTTAGGTACTTTAGTCTCCACCCAGTTAATGAGGAAACTAAGGCTCAAAGGAGTTAAGTAACCTTGTCCATGTTCACACAGCCAGGAAGAGGTTGAGTCAGGACCTCCTGTCTGACTGCAAAGCCTGCATTCTTAACCTCTGAGCTCCGTGACCCTGACAACACTGGTCACTTGCTGGGTGGGGCAGAGGAAGTCCTAGCTGCCTACACCTTCTTACACCTGCAGCCCTCCGGCTCCACAGCCAGGACCTGTCTCATGCTGACAACCTGCCAGAATGACCCATCACCTCTACATATTCGCCACACTCCTTCTGAACCTTTTCTGTTCAATCTGCTTCCAAGCCTCTCTTGGGCATGAGTCTCATCTCAGTGCACCTGGTAAGTCCCAGGTGCTCTGCCTGAACCTGCCCACCAGCTGCCTGAGCTCCATCATTGCAAAGAGGTGTCTCCAGGATGTTAATGGGAGCCTCAGGTGGCAGATCTCTCTCCTCCTTGTGCACTTCACTTCAGGTGACTCTTGGAAAGACTTGGGATTGTACTACATCTCAAGATTGGTGTCTTCTGTTCACCTCCCCACTGGAGCTCAAAAGGTAATATGCTCCATCAACCACAGAAGTTCATTACTAGCCTAGTATCAGGCCAAGGGTCTGGCCAATGCTTTCACCTGGCAGGCTGCCATCAGAGGCTGCTTGACAACACAGACCTATGGCCTTGATCTCCACCTGTGCAAACAGCCCACATGGCACAGCTGAGCCCCAGACAGGAGGGATGAACCTGGAGTGCTTTTTTGTTTGTTTGTTTTTGAGACAGAGTCTCACTCTGTCACCCAAGCTGGAGTGCAGTGGCGCATCTCAGCTCACTGCAACCTCAGCCTCTCTGGTTCAAATGATTCTCCTGCCTCAGCCTCTCAAGTAGCCAGGATTACAGGCACCCGCCACCAGGCCGGCTAATTTTGTATTTTTAGTAGAGATGGGGTTTCTCCATGTTGGCCAGGCTGGTCTCGAACTCCTGACCTCAGGTGATCTGCCTGCCTCAGCCTCCCAAAGTGCTGGGATTACAGGTATGAGCCACTGAGCCTGGGCAGAGTTTCTCTTAACCCCATGCACACCTCCCTGCTGCTTGACCGGAGACAATAGCCTCCCTACTCAGAATCTACATTTTCCCTCTTCTATAAGGGGAAAGAATAGTCCTTAGGGATCTGTCACTTTAAAATTCTCTGGGGTTAAAAAAAAAAAGGTAACAATATGTAGCCGGGTGCAGTGGCTCACGCCTGTAATCTCAGCACTTTGGGAGGCTGAGGCAGGTGGATCACGAGGTCAGGAGTTCGAGACCAGACTGGCCAAGATGGTGAAACCCCGTCTCTACTACAAACACAAAAGTTAGCTGGGCACATGCAATTCCAGCTACTCGTGAGGCTGAGGCAGGAGAATCGCTTGAACCTGGGAGGCGGAGGTTACAGTGAACCAAGATCAAGCCACTGCACTCTAGCCCGAGCAACACAGCAAGACTCTATCTCAAAAAAAAAAAAAAAAAAGTAATGACATGTTAAACTATGGGTTCTTCCATGAGTTTCTGTGGGCAGTCTTACTCGATGCCATTCGCAACTTTCTTGGCTCATTCTCTCCTGGGGCAAACACCATATATGGCCTCATAACAATCCTTTTCTTACCTTTTTTTTTTTTTTTTCCTGAAAACCAATCCTATTAATTGGTGCAGGAAGGAACCAATGAAAATCTCCTTGTGAAGGCTCATAATTTAGGATGTTTCTTCTTTACATTCCTCCTAGTTTGGGGGTTTTCTGGGGGTGGGGGGGAGTGGGGTGTGCGCAGGCCAAGCCTTTGTCAGGGTGTCGCCAAGCCATCTCAAACTCTCCCCAGCCAGTTCTTTCCCAGCTGTGGGGCTTTTGGCAGAGAAGGGCAGAGGGTGACTCAGATGGCTTCCCAGGAGCCGTTGAGTCCTGCCTGGCTTCCCAGCTGGCTTGGATTGAGCGACAGCATGGTTAACAGATTTGCCAAAAATCACGGCACTGGAGATGGCCCTCCAGAGGTCAGGGATGTTAAGAGAGAGCCAAAGGGCACAGAGCTCTGTTTCAAGACTGGAAGCAGCCAGGGACCCAAGGAAAGTGCCTGGGGCTGAGCATTGGACAGCTCATCCTAGACCTGTCTCCACTCCCTGGAGGACCGTGAACCCATCACCACACATCCCAGAACCTTGGTTTCCTCATCTGTAAAGCCAGCAGGCTGGGTCATCTGAGTGGAGTAGATACTAAATTAGTCTAAGTTCCCTTCCAATGTTGTGATTCTCTGAGTACTTTATAATTTGGGGGTCTGAAAACCCTCCTCTGCCTTTTCCCATTTGTACGGTGTGCTGGGGCCAACCTCAAGGGCAGCACCAGGTTCCACCTCGTTCATGCCTGTTCTTCCTCACATGATCCTTTGCCCCTGCCCAGCCTGTGCCAGGGCACATGGAATTCAGACTGTTCTGATTCATTGACCTTGAAGGCAACCAAAAAACTGGCCTTGCAAAGGGGATCTGACGCCTCCAAAGCCGCGATGAGCCTTCCAGGTGGGTGGCTTTTGAATCTTCTCTCCCTCCTTGGGACCACAAAGCTTTATTTGACCAACATTCAAGCTCAAAAACTTTATTTGCCTGGAGCAACCCCAGGAGTCTTAACCTCGGAGAATTACCTTCTCTCAGGCTTCACCAGACGCCACCCAGGGTGAGAGTGTGGGGTGAAAACACGTCACAGCCACAGCCCTGTGACATTCTCATCTTCCCAGCAGGGAGAACCGGTCCTTGCCAGTGTCAAGAAGTCAAAACAAAGCTCCTTTTCCATGTGCTTTTTCTTCCTCAATGGCTTAGACTGTAAAGTCATCAGGAAGCATGGTCTAGTGCTCCAAGCTGCAGACAGACGGCTTGACCTCTGTCCTGGCGCCCTGGGCTGGCCCAGGCCAGACACCGCACCCCTAGGACTGTTTTCCCATCTGCAACACAACTCGAATCTCTCTAAACCAACATCTCCTCTCACTGCAAAACACAGCCCCCTCCCTCCTCCTGGGGCAGTTGGACTTAGAAACCAGCTCATCTGTAGGGGAAGAAATTCTTATAGGGTAAGCCGCAGAAGGACAAAGCACAGAGGAAGAAAAGAGTTAATCGTGTGCTGGGGGGTGGGGGCGTTGGGGGTTGAGGGATTGAGGGAGGATGATGGTTTAGGGGAGTGTTTATTCCACTCTCCTGGATCCGAGGTGGAAGGTCTCTCCTTTCTAGGGAAACGGGATGGTGTGGCGTGCAGATAAACAGAGAAGCCTGCTGTTGATGGCTGCTGGGTGTCTCCAGGGATCAGTAACACCTTCATCAGAGAGAACGCTTCTGTAAGCATTCTACTTCCCTTCCCCACCCCCACCCCCACCCCTTAAATAAGCAGCTGTTTCCTCTGCCCCTGCGCCTGGCCCCTGGCCACTGCCGGGTCATCCTGCCTACCCAGGGCTGCAGACTGACTTCTCTAGTTTCAGAACTCAACTTCCCTGGGTGCGTCCCGTCTTCTGCCACTTCACAAGGTCTCTTTTCACATCTGCCCTTTACATACGACCCTGCCTGACCCAGCCTCGAAGGAAAGCCCATCCCCCACCCATGGTGGTGTCTGGAGCTCAGAAGGAGCCCTCCCAGTGACCCCCTGCCAGGCCTCTGGGAGGCATTTTCATCTGGTCCTTCCTTAATCCGCTTCCTGCCACCCGGGCCAAGCACACCCAACCAGGCTGCCTGTGGTAGGCTCACAATATCCCTGGCTCTTATGCTATCAGATAAGGACATTTCACATGCCTCAGCCTCACTGACACCAGGTCTGAGGTTTTAACTAAGGAGGAGGAAGGATTAATAGATGCTGGGGCCAAGAAGTCCAAGTATTTGAAGAGACAGACGTCCTTGCTCACAAAAGCTAACCATTGTACACAATTGCATGGCCCTTGGATAAGACTGAGAGCATGGTTCTCACCCCTGGCTGCACATTAGAATCCAGGCTGCTCCCCAGACAGATTACGTGGGAACCCCTAGGGTTGGCATCCAGGCATTGGCTGGCTTTGAGAGCCACTGATCTAAAACAATGCCCCACTTTACAGTTTGGGAAAGAGAGGCCAAGACAGAGGAAGTGATTTGCCCCAAATTAAATGTGGGACAGAGCCCCGAGCCGAACCTGTGTCTCCTAACTTTAAATTCATATCTCTTCCCATTATGATTTTCCATCTGGTCACTTTACAAGAGAGGGCCTTAATCTCAGAGGCACATTAAATTTATCTAAGGGAACTTTTGAAATATACAATGACAGGCTTCTGAAATTCTGGTCTAATTGCTTCCGAGTGTAGCCTGCATGTAAGTATTCCTTAAAGTTCCCTGAGTAAGTCTCATGTGTAGTCAAGGTTGAAAGGAGCCCCGCTTATTAAAGGCTAAACCCCTTTAGAGAGAGAGAGACAGAGTTAATGAGAGAAAAGGAAAGGCAGAAAATAATGCTGTGGAGGTTGGAGGAAGGAAAATGGTTCTTGTAGGAGGAATCTTGGGATCCATCAAAACAAATGATGCTTGAGCTGGATCTTGAAGGTTTCAATACTTAGAAATGACTAACAGCTTTCCAGGAGAGAGAACTGTGTGAACAGGGTCCCATAGGAAAGGATATGGGAGATGGGACAATTGGCAATTGGATGAAACAGGCAAATTGGGACCAGCGTGCATGTGGGAAGCTTTCAATTCATACAGGAGGATGACGTGAACCGTCCAGCCCAGTGGCTTCCAAGCTCCCGCACACATTAGACTCACCTACAGGGCTTGAATGCAGGCTGCTGGGCCCCCCTCAGAGCCCCAGATGCAGTGGTCTTGCTTGGGACCTGGGAATTTGCACTTCTAACAAGTTCCCAAGTGATCATGATGCTTCTGGTCCTCCCAAGACACTTTAAGAACCACTGTGCTAAGCAGGGGGAAATCCCAGGAAGTTTCAGATTTGAATCACTTTGAGAAACATACACATAGAAAAGAAAGACAGAGCGAGAGAGCGTGAGGAGGCACTTCCGTAGGACAGGAACACTGATCTAGCACAGAGGGAGAAGATCGCAGTGCAGAGCAGCTCAGAAGCGGATGCAGGTGCTGCCATCGCAGCAGGGAGGGAGAAAAGCGGCCCAAGGAGGGCCTGGGCAGTGGGACTGGGGAGGAAGGCGGGTTTACAGCCTGTTCAGCAGACGCGTGCGCAGAACATGGTGACCGACTGGATTTGGAGGGAAGGAGGGCAGAGTCCAGGGGGAGTGACTTTTGGAAGGTGAATAGCCTAGCGGGTGCAATTCACGGAGCTGAACAGGCAGGAGGAGGGGCAGGTGTGGGAGCAGTGCCAGGGGCTTGGTTGGAACATGAACCCGAACCCTGTTCTCACGTGCCTGGCAAGAGCAAGACCTCTGACTTGGGCCTAGAGGGTGCCAGAATGACGGGAGCTGTTTCTACCCTAAAACTCTCCTCCAGGGGTGTTGGGTGGCAGGCGGGGGGAGAGCTGATCCAGGGTGGTGACCCATGGTGAGGTGCTTTGGGCCCGCATCCCATCTAGTGGACAGGTGCAGGAGTCAGTAGAGCTCTGTCTCTTCAAATCCAATCAGGGAGGCAAAGGAATCAAGCACTGCCATGCACCCACACTGAAAGCACATTGCTCCGAGACCTTGATCTGCCTTCAGTTTACCAGATGTGCTCCCTGAAGCAGTAGTCCCCAATCTTGGCTGCGCATTAGAGTCACCTGGGGAGCTTTAAATATGCCTGCCACCTGGGCTGCACCCCACACCAATTAAAACAGCATTTCTGGGATAGGACCAAAGATTAGTATATTGGAAACCTCCCCAAGTGATTCCCAAGAGCAGCCAGGGTTGAGAAATGCACCCTGAAGGGTGTATATAGGTAGCCTTCAAATAGCATATTTATGAAAATTATGCTTCCTCCCTAAGGAAATGGCTTGAATGTGTCTAACGCCGCCCTATCCCACCCCACTGCCCTCCTCCCACACAAGAGAACTGATCAAGGGACAGGCCTGGCCTTTTGAGATACATGACTGCTCCAAGCCACAGGCCTGCCTGGCAGGATCTGTTGCCCATAGTCAGAGTTTATGGAACCAGAGGCCACATCCTGGAAGGAGGAGGCTTGAAAGCCCAAAGCCCAGGAATCACAAGGACTCAGATGAGCCAGCTCTCAAAAATGACAAGTTCACTTTCACACTGTTGGTGGGAGTGTCAATTGATTCATTCAAGGAGGCTGGACCAAACAGGGCACAGTGGGTAGAGAGTCTATGGGGAAGGATGGGGCATTGTTCATAGCCAAAACCAAGAGGGAGGTTTTGAGAGCCTGAGAGACCCTGTGGAAAGAACAGGGATGTGGGTGATGGGTGGTGCCCTGCATGAGATTTGGCAACACCAGGCAACTCCTCACAGCTGCTCCGCAGGCGTCCCAGGAGTATGGAGAAGCCAGGAGAGGACAGAGTGTGATGGGGCCTCCTCTCCTTGCCCTCCTCCCCGACTCAGAGTCAGATACGAAGGGCAAAGAGAGCAAAAGGCTGGGAAATCAAGAGCATGAGGAAACTTACAAGGACGGGGATGGGGGCATTCACTCCAGGGGCATATCAGGATTGGGGGGGCCTGAAGTTTGCACAGTTGGGAAGGCGAGGGCTATCTTTAAGAAAAAGAACACAACATGACAAATACAACTGGAGGTCTTGGGTCTGGGAAGGAGCCTGAAGTGAGGAGTCCTAGTGTAAACCTGCTGTGGCCAACAGGCTAATATTCTGCGATAAGACTCATTGCTACCCCGTGCCCCACGTTCCAGGGTCTGGCCTTGTCTGGGATGCCCCAGCAGACTAGGAGGCCAGTTGTCCATTTTATTTCTGGGAAACGAAGGAGTAAAGGAGTCTCTGTGGTCAGTCGCCCAACACATGTTGGTGGCCGTGCCACAGAGAGGTCCTCCGTGCAGCCCTGCAGGCCGTTCACTCCCTCCACAGCTTCACAGTAGGACCTACTATGTGTCAGGGCAGGGCTGGGCATGACAAGCATCACAAGGACTCAGACAGGGCCCAGCTCTCAAAAATGACAAGTTCTCCACTTTTACACTGTTGGTGGGAGAATAAATTGGTTCAACCATTGCGGAAGACAGTCTGGCGATTCCTCAAGGATCTAGAACCAGAAATTCCATTTGACCCAGCAATCTCATTACTGGGTATATACCCAAAGAATTACAAATCATTCTTTTATAAGACACATGCACACGTATGTTTATTGCAGCACTATTCACGATAGCAAAGACTTGGAACCAACCCAAATGCCCATCAATGATAGACTAGATAAAGAAAATGTGGCACATATACACCATGGAATACTATGCAGCCATAAAAAAGGATGAATTTATGTCTTTTGCAGGGACATGGATGAAGCCGGAAACCATTATTCTCAGCAAACTAACACAAGAACAGAGAAACAAACACCACATATTCTCACTCATAAATGGGAGTTTAACAATGAGAACACATGGACACAGGGAGGGGAACATCATACACCAGGGCCTGGGGGAGGGGGTGGGGGTTAGGGGAGGGACAGCATTAGAAGAAATACTTAATGTAGATGACAGGGGATGGTTGCAGCAAACCACCATGGCACGTGTATACATATGTAACAAACCTGCATATTCTGCACATGTACCCCAGAACTTAAAGCACCGTTTTTAAAAAATGACAAGTTCTCTGCCTAAGAGGTGTGCAGGCCTCTGTGAAGGCAGGAGAGAGAGAGGGAGGTGCTTGCCTCAGGCAGTTCGGGTAGGCTTCCCAGAGGCTGCAGCCAGAGAAGGGAGCCAGAGAGAGCTACCTAAGTTCACCAGATCAGGGGAAGTTGGTCTTGCAGAGGGAATAGCCACAACAATATTTATTAAACACCTACTATGTGCCAGGCTTAAATCTGTTATCTGAAGTCAATGAGTTTGTTCAACACCACCACAAACTGGGTCCTAGTATTATCCCCGTTTTACAGATAAGAAAGCTGAGATACAGTGATGTTAAAGAGCTTATTCTCAGTCTCACAGCTATGTAAATGGTGAGTATGAATTTTAAACCCAGGTAGTCTTGCTCTAGAATCCATGTATGCACAAAGCTATGAGGAGACATCTTGTAACACTTTGGGAACTGCAAGATACTCTGTGTCTCACTCACAGGAAGCACAAGGAAGGCAGGCGAGGAAGGGGGCCAGGAGGCAACAGGGATCCTGGAGGGCCTAGAAGAACAGGAAAGAAGTTTGGGTAAGGAACGGTACCCATAAAAGGCAGGGCAGCTACTGAAGGTTTTTAAGCAAGAGCATGGGGTGATCAGATCTAGGCTTTAGAAAGGTTACCCTGGGCCAGGCATGGTGGCTCATCCCAGTAATCACCGCACTTTGAGAGGCCAAGGTGGGTGGATCTCTTGAGGTTGCGAGTTCAAGACCAGCCTGGCCAACATGGTGAAACCCCGTCTCTATTAAAAATACAAAATAGCCAGGCACGGCAGCGGGTGCCTGTAATCCCAACTATTTGGGAGGCTGAGGCAGGAGAATCGCTTGAACCAAGAAGGCAGAGGTTGCAGTGAGCCAAGATGGCACCACTGCACTCCAGCCAGGCGATAGAGAGAGACTCTGTCTCAAAAACAAACAAACAAAAAACAGTTACTGACTCTGTGTAGAAGATGTGATTCGAAAGGATGAATTAGAAGCCATCAGATGGAAGCAGGGGGAATCTCTAAAGATGCTGTTACAGAGTCCTGGCAATTGTGAATGGAACATCAACTGAGGCCAAGGCACCAAAGTTCCTCTGGTTCCAAAGACCACCCACAACAGCCAGTGGGCAGAGGAGACAGAGAGGGTCCATCTTCTGCCACAGGATGTGCTTTGGACGTGGAGCCCAGAGATCTGAGTGCAGTGCCCACCTTCCCACTGCCACCTTCGTGGACGAAGTCAAACCCCTTCACCTCCCTGAGTCACAATTTGCTCATCTGGAAAGTGGGCATCATAATTCATGCTCTGTCTGACTCATTCAATTTGTATGAAATTCAAACAACGTCATGTATGAAAAAAATGGCCCATGGCGATTATTGACAGTACAATGGAAGGTTGAAAATGTCTGCACAATCAGCTGATAGCCTGGAGTCCAAGAGTCTTTTATTCTTGGGCTCAAGTGGTATCCTTTGGCTTGGCAATAAGCTTTCAGCTGAGGCGGGTCCCTTCTTCCCACCTCCACGTGATCCACCCAAGTCCTTCCCTTTCTTCAAAGCACAATCCAAACACCACCTCCTCCAGGAAGCCTTTCCAAAGCCATGCTTTAAGCCCACAGCTGGAAATGGCCTCTCCTCCCCGTGAAGAATGCGACTTTCTGCTCTGCTCTGTGTTCCATCTAGCTGCAGTTGTTTCTGCATTACCTCCCCATGAGCTGCCATAGGCTGCTGCCTTTCTTTTTTCTTCTTCCTTCATTTTTTTAATTTGTTTATTTTTTGAGACAGAGTTTCACCCTTGTCACCCAGGCTGGAGTGCAATGGCACGTTCTTGGCTCACTACACCCTCCACCTCCAGGATTCAAGCAATTCTCCTGCCTCAGCCTCCCGAGTAGCTGGGATTACAGGCACCGCCACCACGCCTGGCTAATTTTTGTATTTTTAATAGAGATGGGATTTTACCATGTTGGCCAGGCTGGTCTCAAACTCCTGACCTCAGGTGATCTACCCGCCATGGGCCACTGTGCCGGGCCGGGTACTGCCTTTCTTATTCCTCTTTCCATCTTCCACTTATCCTATGTGCCAGCACAAAGGATAGTCAATGCCTTTTGGTGCAAAGATTGAAATACAGAGCTACTGAGTGACTGGGCTTTGGATCCACAGAGAAGTCCGGGACAGCCAGTGAAAAGGACAAGAGTGTTTTCGCATGATGGCATAGAAGGGCCAGAGGCTTGACAGCTTCCTTCATCCTTCCAAAGTCCACTCTCCTCCAAAGACAAGCATAGAAATAATAACAGAGTAAATGTCTTCACTAACAGTGATTAAGTACTTATTCTGTGACCATTTGCTAAATATTTTACTGATATGCCTTATCGAAACTTCACAACAAATCTATAAGGTGAAACATCTTTATCCAGCACTTAGTACAGTGCATGGGACAGAGACAGGCTCTCAGTAGATTTTTAAAATAATTTAATTTATTTTTATTTTTTGAGACGGAGTTTCGCTGGAGTGCCGTGGTGCGATCACGGCTCACTGCAACCTCCACCTCTTGTGTTCAAGCAATTCTCCTGCCTCAGCCACCTGAGTAGCTAGAATTACAGGCATGTGCCACCACACCCAGCTAATCTTCTACTTATAGTAGAGATGGGGTTTCTCCATGTTGATCAGGCTGGTCTTGAACTCCTGACCTCAGGTGATCTGCCAGCCTCAGCCTCCCAAAGTGCTGGGATTACAGGGGTGAGCCACCTTGCCTGGCCAGATTTATTTGTTTGAATGATAGATAAGGAAACTGGGCGCATCAGGTGAGGTGACTTGCCTAGTGGAATACAGCTGATGGCTGGCAGAGTGGAAATTCAAATCCTTCTGGCTTAAGGACAACTTCATATTCCCTCTCATCAATGAGAGATGACTGGTTGTGGAGATGTGAGGAAACAGCAGATGTGGTGAGGGACGGCGTCTTTCCTCTGCATTGTAGGAGCTAGAGTCCGAAAGTCCACAAGAGACCCTGGAATCAGTGGTCCTGCTGGTCCAGGCTTCCCCAGGCTGGAGAGTGAAGTACGGGGTATGCATCCCCCTGAAAGTAGGGTGGATGGCCTCGCCATCCAGACAGCAGTGCCCAGTGCAGGACGAAGAGCAGCTTGGCCGGCTTGTGACTCTTCCAAACATTTCCTTATCAGCTTTTTCCTGCAAGGATCTGGGCACTCAACTATGTTACAGGTGCCCGGCTTGATAGAAACCCTGTTTATTAAAAAGAGTGGGGTGTAGTGGCAGTTACCCCAAGGAACTTGGCTATGGAAATCGAGGCCTGGAAGATGACTTGTTATTAAGCCTTGAAGATGAGGCCTGGGGCCTGCTCCCAGGACAGAAGGACTGAACCCATGTGGGCAGTTAATATGACAATTCAAACCTCGGTGGGGTCCAAAATGACCCCTACACATCATTGGAAACTCTCCGGGACCTGCCAACTACTTCTCCTTTCTGGTTGGGCCACCAGCGGCTTTTTCTTCACCCAGAGCAGTAACTGTCTGAACAAGTTGTTTTCATTAATTCTTCAGAGACGTGGATCTTGAAACAAAAATAAAAGATTCCTCCCTTCCTCCTAGAATGAACTTAGGACGGATATAATTTCTACTGCACAAATATAGGCAGTATAGAAATTATAAAAGAAAAAGAGAAGGCCGGGCGCGGTGGCTCAAGCCTGTAATCCCAGCACTTTGGGAGGCCAAGGAGGGTGGATCATCATGTCAAGTGAACGAGACCATCCTGGCCAACATGGTGAAACCCCATCTCTACCAAAAATACAAAAATTAGCTGGGTATGGTGGCACGCGGCTTTAGTCCCAGCTACTCAGGAGTCTGAGGCAGGAGAATCACTTGAACCTAAGAGGTGGAGGTTACAGTGAGCCAAGATCACACCACTGCACTCTAGCCTGACGAAAGAGCAAGACTCCATCTGAAAAATAACTAAATAAATAAGTTCATAATTTATCCTACACACAAAGAGAATCCCTACTGATTTTTTTTTTTTTTTTTTTTTTTTTTTTTGAGACGGAGTTTCGCTCTTGTTACCCAGGCTGGAGTGCAGTGGCACAACCGTGGCTCACTGCAACCTCTGCCTCCCAGGTTCAAGCAATTTTCTTGTCTCAGCCTCCCAAATAGCTGGGATGACAGGCACCCACCACCATGCCTGGCTAATTTGTAAAGTTTTGTAGAGATGGCGTTTCACCATGTTGGCCAGGCCAGTCTCGAACTCCTGGACTCAGGTGATCCACCCACCTCGGCCCTCCCAAAGTGCTGGGATCACAGGCATGAGCTACCACACTCAGCTTCCCTAGTAATAATTTTTTAACCCATCTTTCCTGGCCCTGTTTTTATGCATTTAAAAATATCTAATTGAGCTCATCACGTGGATGAAGTTTTCTGTCTTGTCATTTTCACTTAATAACACAAGTATTAGTCATGTTATAACAACTCTGAATACAGGTTTTTATTTTTTGAGATGGAGTCTCGCTCTGTCCCCCAGACTGGAGTGCAGTGGCACAATTTCGGCTCACTGCAACCTCCGACTCCCAGGTTCATGGGATTCTCCTGCCTCAGCCTCCCAAGTAGCTGAGACTACAGGTGCACGCCACCACGCCCAGCTAATTTTTTGTATTTTTAGTAGAGACTGGGTTTTACCATGTTAGTGAAGATGATCTCAAACTCCTGACTTCGTGATCCACCTGCTTCGGCCTCCCAAAGTGCTGGGATTACAGGCATGAGCCAAAATGCCCGGCCTGAATACAGATATTTTAATGGCTACATAAGAGTCTACCATATATTATAATTTACTTAACTTTCCTCATTGTTAGATGTTTAGGTTGTTTTCAGTTTTTATTGTTATACATAACACTGTAACTTTTAAAAATAAAATAAATCAATAATTCAAGAACAAAAAACAATTTGGGTTGTTTTAGGATATGTCCCCCTCTCCCTCTGCTCAGTTGCTTGAGAGAAGATGGGACCCAAGACGGAAGATGGTGTGAATGCACAGGAGAAAACCCACAGCCTGTGTCTGGGAGAGGACAGGGGAAGCCGATCCCTGCCTGGCTGATCCCACACTCCTCTGCTGGCCCTGTTGACATTTGATAAATGCTTCCTGTGAAGATGTTTACCCAGGAGGAAATTCATCATGCTTCCCCTTCCTACCACGAGGGTGGGAAGAGGGGCTCCATTGGCCTCATTCATTCCAGCCAATGTCTGAGCTGACCACGTCACCACCCTGGGTGCCCCGGAAGGTGTGAGACAAAGGCGTCAGACACAGAAAAGTCTGTGTCGGGACGTGGAGAAGCAGCCAAGAGGGCATGTCTGTAGACATCCAAGTCTACTTGTCACGTGCATCTCCTGTTTTCTTTATTTTTTTCCTCCATTTAAATTAAGCTGCTGATTGTCCTTGTTTTATCCAGGAAGTCCTAAAGGACCCATTGAGAGCTGGGAAGTCCAAAGGACCCATTGTTTTTTCCTCCCTTTCTGGACAAGGAGAAGGAGCTGATGTGGTAGCTGGATCTTCAGTCATGGGAGCAGAGGTGTCCGTGGGCCTGGAAACGCCATTTGTTTCCCAGCAATCGGGGCCTCTTGGTTCCACTTTCAGTTGAGCTGCTGTCTTCTCTAGAGAGGCAGTTGGGGCTGATTGCAGTGGCTCATGCCTGTAATCCCAGCATTTTGAGAGAGCGAGGCAGGTGGATCACCTGAGGTCAGGAGTTTGAGACCAGCCCGACCAACATGGTGAAACGCCATCTCTACTAAATACAAATAATTAGCTGGGCATGATGGCACATGCCTGTAATCCCAGCTACTTGGGAGGCTGAGGCAAGAGAAGAGTTTGAACCCAGGAGGTAGAGGTTGCAGTGAGCCAAGGTCGCGCCACTGCACTCCAGCCTGGGCAACAAGAGTGAAACTCCATCTCAAAAACAAAAAAAAGAGACAGGCACTTGGAAGTATTGAAAGCTGTGATATCAGGGGCCAGTGCGGCCAGTTCAGCTCAGCGTCAGCACTCACTCGCTGTAACCTCCAGCAGGTCCCAGAGTTACTCAGAGCCGAGGCTTCCTCGCCTCTGAAACAAGCCTTGATATCAACTGCAGCCATTTCCTGTGAGGGCCACGTAGTAGAATGCATGGACAAGCACTTTGAAACAGTAAAATAACATGCAGGTGCTGGTTTCCTTTAAGCCAAGGAGCTTGGCCAAGTACCCCAGCTATAAAATGAGCATACTATAAGAATCTCTGCCTCCCACTTTCCTGAATGTCAGAAAGACAGAAGAGATAATATTTGCAAAAGTGTCCAAGATCTTGAGTTGGTTTTCCGTTTCACCAACATCCAAACAATCAAAATAAAACATATCACAGAACTTGTTTCCGTTCTAAACAGTGACCATCTCAGCCACCAATAATACCTTGAAGCAAAGCACCAAAGACTAAATTACCATTTTTTTTTTTTTTTTTTGGAGACAGAGTTTCACTCTGTTGCCCAGGCTTGAGTGCAGTGGTGCCATCTCTGCTCACTGCAACCTCTGCCTCGTGGGTTGGGGTCATTCTCCTGCCTCAGCTTCCCAAGTAGCTGGGATTACAGGCATGCACCATGATGCCCAGCTAATTTTTGTACTTTTAGTAGAGACAGGGTTTTGCCACGTTGGTCAGACTGGTCTCGAACTCCTGACCTCAAGTGATCAGCCTGGTTCAGCCTCCCAAAGTGCAGGGATTATAGGCGTGAGCCACCACGCCTGGCCACTGAATTACTTTTTAAATATCACATTCTTTAAAAGTTCCATAAAATATGACTCTCAGAAACATGTATCAGAAGCAACTCAGTGGTTTCTTTAAAAATCCAGATTCTTGCGCTGCACTGAATCAGACACACTGGGATGTGGGACCCAGGACACTGCATTTTAAGAAGCTTTCTAGGGGCCTGTTTGGCACACTCAAATGAGAGCCACGAATTTAGAAGCCTCATGTCAAGCTGCAGAAGTCACAAAAACCATTGGCTGGGCATGGTGGCTTATGCCTGTAATCCCAGCACTTTGGGAGGCCAACGTGGGTGGATCATGAGGTCAAGAGATCAAGATCATCCTGGCCAACATAGTGAAAACCCGTCTCTACTAAAAATACAAAAAATTAGCTGGGCGTGGTGGCACGCACCTATAGTGTCAGCTACAGGCTGGAACAGGAGAATCACTTGAACCTGGGAGGCAGAAGTTGCAATGAGCCGAGGTCGTGCTGCTGTACTCCAGCCTGGGCAACAAGAGTGAAACTCCAACTCAAAAAAAAAAAGTCACATAAACCTCT